TAGCTAATACATTATTTAACTTTCAAAATTTTCATAAGCCAAAGCAAAAATTAATAAGAAGTAGTAAGTAGGTAATAAAAGTTCACACCCAATAAAGACATATTTCTAAACATAGTAAGTGTCTCTTGACCAAGAAAATCAAAGATCTTTGGAACAGCGATGGTCCGCATTAAACTATGGTTCATGGCTACACAGAAATGTAATTCAGATGACTTGTTCTTCTGTGAGCCTCACCAAGCCTTGGAAGGTTTGACATTAAGACAGTAGTTCACTGCTCTCATTACTGTGGGATGTTAAGGTACTAAAATAGAGTCTTATAACTCACTTAAAACATCCAAGTTAGTGACCATGGAGTGGTGAGAGCATTGGTCTTTCTTCTAGGCTGTCTTTCTTAAATGCTGAGTAATTTGCAACTCCTTTCCAATTTATTTCTGAGTTCTTTTCTCAGGCATCTGAGATCCTACTTTTTTGTGCCTTGGATTCAGGACAATTTCTTGAGTCTTAAAGATTAAATATGTCTATGACCGAGCTGGCATTCTGTTGCAAGAGTTTAGGGAGCTTAGTATGTTCTCTTCCGGATGGGCCTCAGATGTAGTTACAGTAACATCATTCCTGCTGAAGTACTCAGACCAGTACCCAACTCATGATTCCAAATACATGATACAAAGGACAGCGGAATTGATTTACACCAAAATGTCTTATGGGTTGATAATAGGTAGTACTACCCCAGTGATGAAATAATTTCTGCTGGTCCCCTTCAAAGATCTAATTTTGAGGAGCTCCATCTGAGAACATGGATTCAGTAAGAGTTGTACTGCCCTAAGTAACTACGTAATTTGAACTTTGAGTGATTTTATTAAAAAGAACCCTTAAATGCCTAAAAATTGAGCATGGAATTATGAATGTAAAATGTTGAACCAATAATCCTTTTCATGAAGGAAATTGGACATCTTTATTCTTGCCACAGAAGCTACATACATGACAAATGTGGGCTGATATGCCACTGCTGAATCTGACAGGGCCAAGGCTGAAGACTTGTGTGAATGTGGGGTGCAGATCCAGCTTCACTTTCATATGGAACAGTTGATCTCAGATGTGCCAGCCCAAGCTTCCTGGAGAACAGAAACCATCATGTGCCAACTCTTCATTGTGATTAGGGGTGT